TACGCTGTTACGACACTTTTGACGTAACCGCTCATCTTTTTGACGTAACCCTACGGCACCAATTTTCTGCACCTCTAATCGATATACCAATTATACAGTTATCATACCATTTTTATATGATGTCCAAACTACCTCTTACATAACGATTTTACAGATATGTAAGTTATGCGACTGATAACAATGGCCATGTATATGCTAAATAAGATAACAGGTTTATACAGTTACGTATTAAGAGGATTTAGTGATTTGCTTTTATGAAAGAGGCACACAGCTAATGTGAAGCAAATAGTTGTAAAACATAATATAAGTTTACTCTTTATTAGATAGATATGAATAAGTCAAGACTAACAATTCGGGGTAGCAGAGCTATTTATTACTATGCAACTTCGTTAACTATATAATCCAATAAATATAACGATACTAACATATATATATATGAGCAGCCGTCAATAGAAATCAAGTGGATTGACATTTTTAAAAAAAAATTAATCCCTTAACCTTCACAACTTATAACTCGATGAATTTTGAGGCTATCTTGATGAATTAACATCCAAAAAAAAAAAAAGAAAATAGCCTAGAACTTAAGCTTTCTTTTGGATATTAATACGTCAAGAGAACCTCAAAATTCATCGAGATATAGATTATGAAAGTCAAGGAATTAATTTTTTTTCAAATGTCAATCTGCTCAGTTTCTATTGACGGCAGCCATATGATAATACAGGTAATTATGTATAGTATAAAATGAATAGTAGAATATATATGAATCCAATAAAAACTCGTGTAACTGACGGTCTTGATTTAAGGGCCGTGAGGTCAAGTGATAATATCGTATAATATAATTTCACATCTTTTAATATACAACCATTAATATCTATTAATGATTGACAAATAACTTCATATTTTAAATCATTATTTGTTTTGATTTATGTTCAAAAATAACAATTAATTTCACATATTAGAAATAACTTTTAAAATATTGAAACGATTATAACCAAATTTTTGTCAAACCACTAATATCAATTCGACTTTCAATCAGAAATCTTATGTTTTCAGATCTTTAATTGATTCTTTTGGGAGCTGCTCTTCATCATCAAGTTGAAGAACTTCTCTAAGATTCTGTGAAAAATAAGGCTTCGACCATTTATCATCTTGGATGTCTTTTATGTGTGCATAAAGTTTACTTATGTGACATTGGTAGAAACTTTTAATATAAATATAAAAGTATATAAATAATAGGAATAAGGTTTTGTTTTTGCATACGATCAAATAACTTACATAACAAATGGAACCCAATTTTCTTTTCTTCGTTGATGAGGAAGCATATAAAGTAGCTCAATTTCTTCAAGTATCTACAATAACATAATAAGTCATTGATTAAAAAATACTTTAATTGAAATAAAAATAAAAAAAAATACCTCGCTTTTTGAAATCAAATAAGCAATATCATTAATATCATTACTGACTAAATTACCAAGGATTCCAATAAATAAATTCATCAAATAAATAAGCATAAAAAATGAAACTATAATCATTAAAAGCATTATCACAGTATTTTCACTTGATATCCATGATGATATAGGAGTCGAATCTCATAATAAAGTAGAATAAATAATATTTTAAATAAGATAATAATAAATACTGATAATCTATATAATATACCTGTAATCATCATATAATAAGATGCAATAATTGCGGGACCAAATTGTGAAAACATATTTATATTGAAATCTAAAGAAAATAACAATAAATAACTAATTAATGCCCATTTCTGTCACAAAATTAGTAAAAAACCTCAAATACCTTGAGAGATGTCAGACTCCGACCGTAACAAGAGGTATAATGAATGTGAAAATGCAAGTATAAAAAATCCAAATATTATTAAAAAATATATTACTTTGTCTACAGTATTCATAATAATAGCAAGATAAATCCCAAAAGATTTTATAGGACGAAAAAGCATAATAATAAATTTTGTTTCAAGAAGTAAAGTTGAAAATGTGATAGCCCAAGTTGAAACAGAGCCATCTTTTAGCCAATAAATTGAAGTTGCAGTAGTAGAAATTATAGCAGCAAGATCTATTAAATAATAAATTGAGTATACGCATATCTTAGTAAATATTTTTAAAAAAACTTACCCAAATAATTCCAAATGCTTGATAAGCTTAGTAAATAACGTCCAGAAGTAATGATTTGACGAATTTCGAATAATAGATGCCAGAATCCAAGAATAATGACGGTGATTAAGAAATTTTTTTGATAAAGCAAAGAAATATTATCAAATAGGGTGGAAACAATAATAAAACAACAAAGGAAAATAGTATAGATTGTCAATATTGCTAAATAATATTTTCTTCCATAAGTATTCCATTTAAATTCGAGTAATGCCTCTCCATTTAAATTTCTATAAAATTCTTCAGTCATCATTTCACACTTATTTGAAAGAGAAAAAGGACTGTTACTTGGGATTATTGATTCATGCAAAATATTGTAGTATTTTGGATAAGAAACAAAATTTGGGTAAGGAACTGCAAGTATTATTGAATATTGCTTTGCATGAAAAAATTTATAAAGTTCGATAAAAAATGCTGCTGGAATTGAACAAAGAAGGAGAAGTGGAACAAGAATAAATTCAGGAAGTATAGAAAAAAAATTTCGAATCCAATTTTGAAATCTCCAACGATCCCAACGATTCCAAAATTTAGAAATTAAAATATCAAGAGAGGATGTTTTAGATAAATGATAGTATATTCCATAGCTAGAAAGATGTGAAGAGTCTGGGATTACCATAGTAGAAGGAACTACAAATCTTATCCTGGATAAAATATTTGCTATAAATGCAGGATGATATTTCGATAATACATTAAACCATTCAAAAATAATACTCAACAAAGAAATTTTAGAAATCAGATAATTATCATTTTGCACACACTTATCCAAACAGCGCTGACCTAAATATCGAATCCATTTACCATAATTTAATGAAATAAATGCTCTCATAAGCTCTTCTCCATAGCAAGCTAAATAAAATTCATCATCAATATCGTTTTTCAAAAGCTCTTCGAAAAGTTTTTTTTCACCAAATCTAACATCCAAATTTTCACAGATTGTTTTATAACTAGAAGCAGGAAGAATTCATCTTGATTTCCAGTCAATCCAGTCCTCAAAGAAATGTTTAAAATTTTCTGGTTTAAAAACGAAATCCTCTAAACAATAATTATAAACATTCCAATAATAGTGCATCTTAATGTCAGAAAGTTTAAACGTCCAGATAATTACACCAATACGCGTAATTGTAATTAAATCATCATTTTCGAGAACTTCACAATGAAGTATAAAATTTTTCCCATCATCAGTATAAAATGATGGAAGAATGTCTAATTGCTTCTTTTTATCATCTGGGTTCCAATCATTCTCATCATAATTAAAATCAATTACTGTAAGTCTGACTGATTTATCTTCTAATTCCAACCCCCATTTTAAAATTTTCCCTTCGAACACTTTTCTATTATCATTAGAATAGTTATTATCAGTTATAGTATTAGTTATATTAGTTATAATATCAACTATCTTTCTAGATGGAATTGGGATGCTATTTGTATCTTTTAGTTCTTTTCGTAAGTATTCGATCCAATTATCAGGACTAATTCTTCAATTATCACTTTTCTGTTAATGGTATAAATTATTTTATCCTATCGAATTATGTATGGTTTTTGAATTTGTTTATTTTTAAAAAGATCACTCGCATCAATTGGATTTTCGAGGTTATAAGGATCAACCAATTTATATTGCCCGTTTGAAATATATAATAATCTTTCTCCTTTTCTAGAAGCGATCAAGTGAAAGCTATCGATTATAAATAAATTCTTTTGTAACTACAAATAAAAAATAAAAAATTAAATAAAAAAATTTTTATACGTATGGTGAGTTATTTATTTTAGTACAAAACTTACTGAACGACAGGTTTATCCCAGTTTTGGTGAAAAAAGTGTATAAACGTGTTTCCTTTTTCTTATTTTTTGCACATACTAATAACAATTCTTCATCATCACTAATTTCAATATATTCAAGCATATAATTCCAATCTATTAAAATATGAGTATAAATCGATAAATTTTCAATGTCCCACATCGTGATCTCATAAATCGTATCATTAAACATATCAGCGGATTTATGGAATCACAAAAAATTTTGTTTGTCAAATATGTGAGTCATGCTAATTGACGTATGA